GGTAAGACGGCGTTTGTTTATTTATTTTTTGTGTTCCTAAGAAAAGAATTAAGCTGGTCTTGATCATTTTGTTAAAACTTGTGAGCATAGAATTTGACGCTCGTGCATTATGCGAGACAATTTACATTATCCAGGACTCCTGACGTCGTGAGATCACGTAGGGAGCTACATTTCATTATCTGGTAGCCAGCTGCGCGCGCCGACGGTCGCTTGCTACCACAGGCTCCCTGGGCACATAATTCGTTCACCTGCTTGCGCTCCCGAACGCCTCCTTGTGGTGCCAAGCAAAAGCATCGGGCTGGGGATTGCGCGGTACGGAGTTCGACTCTCTCTGCGCCGCTTGTTAAATCCTGCTAATAACAACTGTGGATAAATAATTATGGCTAAGTATACCTTCTCCATGCATTGCGTGCTATAGACGGGCTATGTATGATTTATGTTGGCGTGGCCAGCGTGCAACGGATTTTTGTTACACTCGAGCGGAACACTTTTGGCATGAATTTCCACCGTTAAACATTCCGCCTCAAAAAGCGAAGCCAGGAGAATTGTGAGAGGCGGGAGACGCAGACGGATTGAGTCTGTATTTTTCATCTTTATATTTTAAATGGCGCCACTCACGAAGACATATGCGATAAGAGAACGTGAACGCATGCCCCTCCTACGTTTGCATTCATCAGGCCGTAAAAGTACTGGGTAAAGTTAAGAAAAAAGGGGAGACGAGGGAAAAAACATTGAATGTTGAGGGACAAAGACACGGGACACGTTGTTGTTTCTTTTCACTACGACTTTCAAAGTTTTGATGATATGTTTACCCAGACATCCGCGTTTACGTCTGCTTGCGTTACTTGTCATGGGCACGACCGCCATCTGAAAGATGGGGCGGAAAGCTCGCTTTTCGTCTGCTGTATCAAAATGTTGTCCGCTTGCAAACAAATTCAGTTTTTTTTCCTTAATTTTTCTTTTCGGTGACGATGGGCATGCTTAATAGGAGGACCTATCCATAAGCAGAAAAGCTTTGGAATAAAAAATGACAATCAATCAATCGAATCCGTTAAATGCAAGTTTTGACACATGACTGATCTTAACAGCTAGCACTACATTCCGTTGAAGCTTAAGATAAGCTCGTAGCAATGGCTAGCTAATTATTTCGGTGCAAAAAACACGGTTTGTTTATATGTCACGCCTTACGATGACATATATTCCAAGCGTGTACCGCTTGTTTGCCCGGGCAAGAAAATAATCTCAACAGTCATGATCACTAAGAAGTCGGGCTGCTTCAGTGAACATCAACACAAACATTGCGCAGTTCATATTTTCTTGTTTATAAGTGAACCATTGTTTTCTATCTTTTTCTAACAATGTTCAGATCAACTTACCTAACTCGAGCAAGCAGAACACGATCGAACGTTACATGGGCGGCTGTTACGAGACTAGAAATGAGTAACAAACGAGCGCAGAAAGAAAAAAGTCTAACGTTCTGAAAGCAGATAAAGCTTCAGCAAAGCTGGAAAAATTGTAAAATATTTGTTCAAAAGAAGTCCGTGAATATTTGTCGAAAAATGACTTTGGTGTTTTATTTATATCGGCGCATACTCGCAAACACAAGCAAGATAAAACAAATTAGTGGCATTATACACTTAAGTATCTCGACTGACTTGAACGGGAAGCGCAGGTGGAGACAAAGCACATATATATATTCCAAACCACCGGCCTGCCTTTCTTTAGCGCCTGTCCTTCAGCGAAACCAGCAAAGAGCCGTCTAGAGACGCCCACAACACGAGGATAAGAATATTAGAGTTCTTAAATAGGTTGCGTTTTTAGAGTACAGACACGTGAACCATTTTGGTGCTTAGAATCAAGGTGTTGCCATTTGTCATTTGTCACCAGCTTTTGCCAACGTGCTTAACATTTAATGCAAAAAGGGCCTTCCGTCGTCCTGCTTGCTAAAACAGTTCACGGGGGCGGGGGTTTGTGCCAAACCAACGACAGGCATCTGGCGGCTGAAACAGTTCACAAAGAGCAAACCGATGTGGCAATGATCTCTTAACACAGTACATACAGCGCGAAAAGTCGCACATTTGAAAACTCGTAACTGTCGCGAACGGCGCCTGTGTGGCTCTAAGAACCAAATATGGCTGCTCTCATAAGCCGCTGGCACGTGAACGAATGCCACGTGATGCGAACGGACGAATGGACGTCGTAATGGCGTCGAACGAGAGGGAGGGGAGGGGGGGGGGGGGGTGCGCCGATTCTCTGAGCGTAGCTTTCTGGTTACTCTAGAGAGGATGCATACAGTGTACCAGAAGGCATGAGTGTTAGGTGCGAGCGATTCCCACAGGAGAGAAATGTAGCGTCACTGACGCCTTTTTCACACCTTCCCAGCGCCTATTTCCCAGGCAAAAAATGTCGCGTCACTGGGCTAGTGCTTGCGTCTGAGATTCAGTAAAAGACTGCGCATAATCAGAACGCGTTCGAGCGTCCAGGAGACAAGGATGGCCGCGCGCAGAAAGCGGTTAGTGGTGGAATGGTCTATTGGCGACTCCAGCGACATCGACGGCACCTAGCGGTTGGAACAGAAAGCTGTGGTGGAAGGTTCGCTTTCCAGCCTTCTCAGATGTATCAGATTCTCACAGCGCATGGCGGTCTAAAGACGAAGCCTTGAAAGTAAGGTCGAAAAGACGTGGTGAAGATTGCCAATATGCGCTGGGCGCACGTCCACACCGGGTGCCTGAACGAGCCTTTGCCAAGTATGACATCCCAGCAATTTTGCCTCCCAATCGCATTCAAATATGTTTGAATTACGCGGAATCTGGCGTGTCTCAGCTCGAACGCATAGCGTTGATTAATACTTTGGCTCCATTTTACAGCTCAGAGGCCTTGAAGCTTCGTAACGCACGAAGCGTTCAACGCGACAGCGGACGTCTCCACGAGCCGAGACAGACAGACGACAAGGCACCCTAAGACAGACAGACAGATCCTAGCGGTGGCGTTCGCACGCCACGCTGCCCCAGCAGGCTCCCGACTGGGTTCGGGGCGAAAGTGGCCCTCGCGTTTTTGGGGCTCGGCGCCATTCGGGTCCAGGTACGGAGCTGCGCACGAGGAAGTCTCGTTCAAGAGGAGTTGTCGCCGAGGGCGGACTAGACGTGCACCGGTACGCCCTGGCTCAGCTTGCGGGCTGCCGCGCTGTGAGGACGGAAGCAGATCACCATCCTCTGGAAATGAAAAAAAAAAAAAAAGAAAGCAACAAGGGTTCAATTTAAACCACGTGGCATTGCCTACGGTGTAGCTTAGATCTTGCTCTTGCTGAGACCAGCATCAGTCCTCTGGTCTATGACCACCCAGAAGACAAGGTCGCGTTTTATCTTCTAACGTCATCGCAACATTATAATATAGAGTACCTCAATGTTCCTTACTGGCTGTGCCTTGCTAGCGTGCTGACATCCTTTTCGGCCGCGGCCGCCACTTTTGCCTCTCGTGGTATGTTGACCTGGTATACGTGAAAGTGCTGGATCGGCTTGTGCCAGTGAAAATGCCAGAATTGGAAATACTCGTTGGGTTCGGGATAAATTATTCCGAGTAGTGACTTTCTTGACCAGGTAATGCAATGAAGTGTTGCAAATGCATTCATCATTCTGCACATTGTGTCTCCATTTTCAATACATCCGGTGTCAATCACAAAGTCATACCTGGTGGAAAAGGTGACATTACATGTTTTAAAAGTTATCACGCGTCGTTTCAATACTGATAATGCTTTACAACTGCGAAATTGGCTCATAAATGGTTGCGCAAAGTGGAAGGCAAGATGGAGGCTTCGGTACAAAACAACAGTTGTCTCTACTCTGGGACGGCCGCCACCCCAGCGACATTGAGGCACTCTACATGATGGACTGCCTACATGGCTTGCAGGCTACGCCAATGTGACAGGCTGGTGGCCATCCTTACTTGTTCTTGTCGAGTCAGCAAATTCTGTGGCACGAAATGCGTGTTACAGAAGGTACTCGCCCAGCAGCAAAGCCACCACAATGGGCTGCTGATCTGACGTCACTGCAAGTCGTATATCGCCAATACTTGTATAGCTCGTGTCCTCCTCTCCACTAGCCTATTAGAACTGGCTCACTGGACGCCAAGGTAAAAAATAAAAAGCGCGACACTGCTAGCACAAACAAGTGACAGTGTGTGCCTATGTTTTCATGTCATGTTTCTATAATATTCGAATCCTTTAGCAAACCCGCTCATCCTGAATCTAATGCGAACTGTGAGCTTGTGATGTCTCGTCTCATACCCTCCACCTCGAAGATTGTTCCTGTGGTGAGAACCTTGTCTGCCCGTTCTTTTATATCATGTTACTTCCTAAGGTGATAACAAAAAGAAATATATCCGACGTCGTGTTTACGCTAACATTGTCGCGCAGCATACGCCCCCTCCATTAATACTGTCTTCAAGCTTCAACTTGTTTACCCTTCGGGTGCGTAGAAGTTCATCTGAGGATGACGTAAAGAGCAGACCTCGTCTTTTTGGTTGTATAGCCGTAGTCCGATGTATTATGTCGTCGTTGTTGTGGAGTGCACGATCCAATGCAGTGTCAAGTCGTATCTATTCGGCGTTTAGTTTCTTTTTTACGGCGACTGACGTGATTGGCGGGGTTTCTTAGCGGATCTTCGGGTGTCCCCTCTAGGGTCGTCGTGGCTGGGACATTTTTTTTTCTAAACGTCTTGGTGTCACGTAACACCGTGACGTCATGGCACGTGACACCATGACCCCATGTCACGTGACGCCACGACCTGACATCGCGATGTACGCCACGTGCCTCCATGACGTCACGTGACACTCTGGAGGATATCACGACGTCACGCGACACTTTAACATTGCACGACGTGGCAGTTAGTGTGAGCTGCGACCGTGCGCATCAGGGTACGGAGCGCCTGGGACTACAGTTCATTTGCCGGACAAGGCAAGGAACCGAGAATTTTTTTTTCAGCCACTCATTCATCCCGGCCTAGTCATCTATCCGAATGTACCGCGTCCGACTTGGGAAATGTGTGCGCGCATCGAGCCGTCACCTCTCTGAAGGTCCCCTTGGTGCGAACGAAGGCGACGAGGATGTAGCCCGGTACGAAGCACATGGACGACGTGGTGAGCACCCAGCCCACGGCGATGGACCAGCGGGGAAACGTGTAGTCTTCCCACTCGAGCTCCTTGTAACGGAGCACCGCGAACAGGAACATCACCTGCGGTGGCCAAAGGGAGTTTCCGGTGTACGGGGTGCCGACTGCAGTCACCGCCAGCCACGCTGCTCGTACGTCGTACAAGAGACACGGGTCCGACGCCGACATGATGAAATAATAATCTGCGAACGCGTTTCGAGTGTGTTAGATATGTATGTGTGCTTGGAACATGTATAAAGAGAGTGTTTGTATGACTAATGTGATTGGGTCGTCGTGTAATGAAGAAACACGCCTCAGACAATCTGTCTGCAGACTGTCTTTAGTGTAATGTATTAACCGCGGCTCAGGGAACACGTGGATGCACCCCGAGCATCGCTTCGCGGTCAATGAGATGGAATGCAAAGCAAGAACGCGAGAGAGATTACCTACACTCTGAAAAATGCCTGCGCGTCTACTTGCCCGCAAAAAAACTCAAAGAGCCAAACACTACGATCTACGAAATCAGCTCAGCGAATGTTGAGGAGAAACATCCGTTTAGGACATAAAAATGAAGTCTGCGCTGTAGCATTATGCAATGCAAAGCGTCATGCTTGCATTGTGTAATGCCACAGTGCACACTTAATTTTGAGGTCTTAACGGATGTTCCGCCTCATCATTCGCTGAGCTGATTTAGTAGATTGCAGAGATTGGCTCTTTGAGTGTTTTGCGGGTAAGTAGACGTGCAGTCAATTTAAAAGAGTACTCTCTGCGTTTCTTAAGTTGGCTTAAGCGCTCGTCCAGTGTGTGCTTTTCTCTCTCTCTGTCCTGTGTTTCTTCCTAGTTTTTTTTTTTTTTTTGCGAGCTGTTTTTAATTTGTCGTGCCAATGACTACCGCCGTATTCCGGGTTGTCGTAATGCGGCAAGCACATTTGGCAGCATCCGTGGGACGCTGCCAATGCTGGCATGTGCGACCTTAACGGAGTAATATTTTATTCGATCGCCCAGCATGTTCTTTAACAGTGGTTCCTAATTAATACGGTGTAATTACCCGTAAAATTATAAAGAACACACAAGTTATTAAATTTGGCCACGAATGTGCGTGTGTAGCTCTCATGGACTCCCTGCGGCAGCTGTGCATGGTCGCCGCCATGACCAACCTTTTGTTGTTGTTGTTGTTGTTTTCTTATTCTCTTGACTTTACATTATCCCTACCACAGCAGGACAGATTATTTCAATTTTAGAGACTACCGTACTCCAGGGCATTAGCCTTTGTAGAGGCTCGTCAATGGCCGCCTCAGTCGCTCGGCATCTCGGTAAAACGGGAGATCAGCAATGGGCGTCTGTAATCTGGCGCGTGTGCAGAGCATCTATAAGCCCACTATAGTCACTGAGTCACTGACAGCCAATCAGATTGAGGCACCTGGCGCTAAGAGTGTTGAACAATCAATCCCAAAAGCAAGAGGCGTGAGCATTATAACCCACACCCTGGCGTTCTTTAAGCTTCCGGCGACTATAGACGCTTTCAGCGAGTCAGTTACTCGAGCTGCCACCAGTCGGCGCGCCCTTCGCGCGCTTTCCGGGCCGCCATAGCCGACCTTCAGTTCCTCGCCGTTGCTCCGCGTTGTGTGCTGCACAGGCCACTACTGGAGCTTCCTTTTCGTGTACTTTTACGTTCCGCGTTCAAATCTTGTATTTTTTTAGATCTTTTCGATATTTAGGACTTTCATTTAATCATTTGATATTTATATTTCGACATAGCTCTTGTATTTTCTTATTTATGGAATGGAATCGGGCAGCGAAGGGTCGACGATACAAGATTATGAGGCTTCAATGACCATGTAAGTTCATCCCATTCTTGCGTTTTGGTCGCTAATAAAGGGCAGTCAACACTTCTGCGAAATATGTAAATTGCAACTGACGCAGTAAGGCTATCACAGTCGTGCTTCTCGCTGCATGAGCGCGCTCGCTTCCGTAAAGCCGACCCGCTTGTAAGCGATTTAGCGTGCGACGAGACGAGCGACTGAGATTTCTCACTGTCTCCCGTCGCATTGCTCGGTTTTGGTATTTCTAGAAAACGTCGCTCACCGTCTTGGTCGCTTGCTCCGTCGCTTCCAGGTTTGCTTCATCGCGCGACTGACTGAGCGACAGCGAAGCGGGTCGCCGTCGCTTATCTGGTCGCTCGCCAAATCACTTACATGCGGTTTATACTCCATTTCCATACACACAGCATTGAACCATTGGCGCCTCGATAACCGCATGCAAGCGATTCGGCGAGCAACGAGACACGCGACGGTGACCCGCTTCGCTGTCGCTCGGGCAGTCGCGCGACGAGGCAAACTGCATGGAAGCGACGGGAGCAAGCGACCAAGACGGTGAGTGACGTTTCCTAGAAACTAAAAAAACCGAGCGATGCAAAAGGCGACAGTGAGAAATCTTCGTCGCTGACTCTCGTCGTTGTCGCCGTCGCTCGTCTCGTCGCACGCTAAATCGCTTACATGCGGGTCGGCTTTACGGAAACGAGCGCGCACATGCAGCGGGAAGCACGACTGCAATAGCATTACTGCGTTAGTTGAAATTTGCATATGTCGCAATGGTGTTGACTGCCCTTTATTAGCGAGAAAAACGTTAGAATGGGATGAACTTACATCGTCTCTGAAGCCATAATCTAGTATCGTCGATCCATTCACTGTCCGATTCCATTTCATAAATAAGAAAATACAAGAGCTATATTGAAATATAGATATCAAATGATTAAATGAAAGCCCGAAATATCGAAAAGGCCTAAAGAAAACACACGATTTCAACGCGGAAGGTAAAAGAACGCGAAAACAAAGCTCCGGTAGTGGCCGGTGCAGCACACAACGCGGAGGAACGGCGAGAAACTGAAGGGCGGCTATGGCGGCAGGGTCACGTGACGGCAAGATGGCGGCACCCATGAAATGTTGCCTGAAAGGGTCTATACGCGAATGGAAAAACAACAACAATGGGTAACATTCACCGAAAGTTCACCATTTGAACGAGCTTAGTGACCTGCGGATGCACGTAAAGAATTCAGGCTCCCACATAATGTCTGCTCAAAAACGACGATCACGATCGCGCGGAACGCAGGTTGGAGGCAACGTCGCGAGGGAAGTTCGACGCCAGCCCGTTAGCGGGCACCACCTACGCACCAACTCACTCCTTCTGACGTCAGGACACGTCTCAGGCCCATGAAACTTCTCTCTTGATTTTTATTTTTTTTTTAAATTAAGTTCCTGGGAACGCGCGCGCAGTATAGGTAGACCGTCTTGGGCATACCAGCCTATATTACTTCACGAGAATTAATCTTCGAAACTTCTCTTCTAACGCATCTATGCGTCGCAATTCTTTTTATATATTATGTATGCATTTTCGTTTGATCGCCAACTTACAAACAAGAATAGGGGGCTGATGTAGCTCCAGCACAGCCTCCAGTACAGGCCGGGTAGATGACCCAGCATTTCCTTGACGTGCTGAGAAAAGCGATTGGCCCCTGCGAGAATTGAGCGAAGAAACAAAACATTTCCCTCTCTTTGGCAGGCAACGCTCTTTATACGCCTGGTTCAGATTATAACCGCGTGAAGAATACAAGGCTCAGGTGAGGGTGCTGCGACGGCTGTGGTGCACGTCTTTGTTCTTCTTATTGGCACAACGTTCCCTTTCTTTCTATTGCTGTGTTGCCAAATAATCTCTACTGTGATCACTGAAGGCTTAAGAAATGCGAGGGATAACGAGTCCAGAATATCTCTTTATCTTTCGGCAACAAATGAGATTTTGGTGGTAGCTGAAAATAACGCGGAAGAACGAAACACCAAGCATGAACATCACACGAAGCACTAGTTCGTCTGCTTCTTGAGCAGGAGGTTGTAGTGACGTCATGCCGTGGAGCTCTGATTGGCTGTGATGAGAGGATGGTGGGTAGACCTCAATAACTAGCGGCTTTGAGGCCTAGCCACTATCCTTCGAATCGGAGCCAGTCAGAGCTTGGCGTTTTGACAACAGCAACCCCTGTCCAAGAAGCAGACGAGCTTGCGCTCTGCATAAACCGCGCCCCGCGTTTCTTCATAAGCTCTCACTGACTATAGACCGACACGCTGTTTACAAACAAGCCCGCGTTTGCCCACACCAGGTGTGGGCACTGCGCGTGCGCAGAAACCGAATTCACGTGAAGCGTCGCGTCTGCGCATGCGCAGTGCCGTCGACAGCGCCACCGCAGCTGCGTGACGTCAGGGCCGCGTGTTGGTCTATATGGACGATGCACGCGTTAAAGGCCGCGGGGTAAGCGTCATATACTACTCTGGCCAGATTGCGCGCTTGGAGCGGAAACAAACGGAGTCGTGGTTTACGGTTCTCGACATTCCACACAAAAACCGCCCAAATCGTGAAGTCTGAATGAAGCGCGTGCGCCGACTTGACATGATGGCCCGCTGCAGGGCGCTGCTCGCCTAAGGCGCACTCACGCTAATGGTTTCTTGTTACCAAAAGCCGCTTTAGAACGTGGGGAAAAAATTAGATGTCCGTAATTAGGCAGCGTAAATTTTGTCTGCCAGTGTATGGCGACATTGTTACACCCCATATTAGATTAAACAAAAAATTCAGGCAGTGCAGTACAACTGGTAACATCACTGAAAGGTAAAGAACAAATCAATGTGGGGGTTTAGATAGCGTAAATTTAGTCTGCAAGAGTATATTCCGACAACGTTTCCCACTGTAGATATAAAATTTAGCCAGTACTGCATAACTGCTAGCCTGGGGTTTTTAGCATGTACCACGCAGTAGTGATCGACGATCGCACGCCAGTGCGATGCTGATCCAGATCAAAATGGGCGTGGGTGGAGATATAACTCACAATCCTTAAGTACACTGCGGGAAAGAGTGAAAAACAAATCGCCGGTTGTTGTTTAGACAGCAGGACATTAGTCTGCCAGAGTATGGCGAGGTTGTTACCCACTGTAGATGGGCAATTTAGCCAGTGCAGTAAGGTTGCTATCCCGATCTTTGACGTGCACCACGCAATAGTGATACACGACCACGCCATTACGATGCTCATCCAAATCGAAACGGGCAGGGATCGGAAAAATTGAAGGGAAAGGTGCGCCCACCGTAGAACCAGCACACGACCATGGACTCGATGAAGACGATGAAGAGGACGCCCGTGGCAGTCGCGTAGGTGTCGAGAAGGCTCACGATGTAGTTGCCTCCCTGGACGGAATACGTTAGTGTGAGACACCTCGCCTCGCTCTCGGTACCCCGTGACGGTTATGCAAGAAGGCTACTCTCGCAGAAAGCGCCTAGAGAACATAAAAAAGTATCGATGTGAAGTTCGTCGATTAGCCTACCTATTAACTGATTACCGCATTTATCGCCGACTAAGTTTGTAACAGATTAATCGTTCAAATGTAGACCGGTAAGAAACAAATACAAGAAAAAAACAACTAAAAGAAATAAATATCCTGAAAGCTAGATTATATTGACACCGTAGCTTCTTGACGCAGAATTTTTTCTCATGGTGCCTGCCCCATTTTCATGCTAGGTAAATAAGAAATAAGTGCAGCACATTCAGTGATGGAAGCGGTATAAGGCCTTTGATAGCAGGTTCTGTAGCGGGCAAAATATTGGTTTGGAGCAGCCACTGACCTTCTAGAGCAGGTGCCAACATCTGTTAACACATCACTTTAAAATTAAAAAGTGATTGCGCCACTAAAGTAGTTCCTCTTGTAATAATAATAGATGGGGTGCCAAAGGAACAGAAGGCTATGTTTTTAGAAATAAGGCTGCAGTCAGAGTAGGTTCCACTTACAATGATTACTAAAAATGAATGAAAAATAATAATAATAGCATAACACTTCAGTTGGGATAAAGCTTCTCTCCCCTCGCAATTTTACAGCCGGTAGCTTTTTAGCCTGTAAATATAATTTCTGTAGAATGCCTGCAAGAACCTGCATATCCGCTAACACGTCTATCAGCAAACACGTGCCTCCCAAGTTTTATAAACCTTGCAAACTTAACACTTTAATAATGTAAACTACCAAAATAACCACCCCCAAGTAGTATGAAAACCTACACTTGTTCAAGTGATGGTGCTCTTTAGCGGTGTTGGAACCATAGTAAAGCCTATGTTCGCTGTTCCTTCGATCGACAGCTGCATTTGAACAACCTTAGCTACCACTCATTCAAATGGACGCTCGTTCTCTTTCTCTCTCTTTTAAAATGAGAGATCAACCTACCACGAAGATCAAAAACGATAGACCTGCAGTGTAATACTGACCATAATTACTCAGCTCATCACGCTAACCCAGGCGCTCACCCACGTCAGCCGCTGCTCCTATCGTTCCTGTGCAAAGTGGTGAAGCTCGACGCATGAGCGCGCTGGTGAGATGCGACACGGAGGCATGCGGCAGACATGATAATCAAGTTATCTCATCGAGAGTTCAAGACCCTGGTTCTATTTTACCACAGAAGCCGACATCCTACAACTTGGCAATGTTTTCTGGTGACTTTCAGCTTCTGCCGTCGTCGGCATCGTCGGGAAACTTAGACGATGTCGGCGATCAACCAGCCAGCGCATCAACCGATCAGCACGGTTGACGAGCCACCGCTACGAGCCAATGGAACCGACCATTGTCAAACATCATGACATTCGCCCATCTTTCCTATGAGTGTTCTTTTCTCGACTGAACCAATCAAGTGCAGCGAATGTCCCATGACTTGCCCTTTTAGTATATGTGTTTGTGGTTGTACGTGTTCGATACTTCGACTCTGCTCCGACCCGAGATAAAACAAATTTTACGGTGAGTAGAGACGCTGTAAAATAAGCATTTGTACAGTTCTTCTTACGTACTATTTCTATAAATATTAGAATGAACCAAAAATTACAGTTTTTTTTTGTTGTTTTTGTTGCTCGGCGCAGGTGTGACGCAATTTTCAGCAAAAATGGTACTTTGGCGCAATATGTACGGAAAACTTTCGTTCCTGGCGCTATTTGGCGCAAATGGTGCCGCACTTTTTGTCACGGCACTTTGCTGTATTCGTTTCTCTTAAATCATCTGTCTCTAAATTTAATCTAATAACTATTTTGGAGTAAATTTCACGTACCTCGCACTATCCAGTTAACTAAAAAAAAAATCTTAATTACTGACAACTTCAGGTGAATGAAAAGGTGTAAACATTTATTGCAGTCTTCTCCACTATTTTCGCCATCAGTTCATAAAGTCTGAATGTATAAACATGTGCAGTACAAAGAAATACGCTGAAAACCTGAGGGAGAGGAGGAGACGAAAGCGGCGCGGAGACGTCAGTACACTGAGCGCTGGTTGGACGGATTAGTGGGTAGACATAAAGCTAGCTGCCTTTCTCTCTGCTGCACTCGTCGAACACGCTCGAATCCGAAAGACAAACGCCGTACACGTCCTCCGCGAATCACAAGGAAGACCAATCCTGATTAGCGAATGAGAGCAGCGACCGCTAAGGTCGTCCAATGGTCCCGTGGGTTCAGACGCAAAAGAGGAACGTCCTTCTGCCACTGATACTGCGCGACAGTTGAGAGGCGCGAATGCTCGCCCTCTGGTTGGCTATACTCCGAGCCAATCTGGCAGCGCCAAAATTGCATCGTCATGGCGCTGATCGTCCTTGGACGCTTTATATTTGTTTCTAAAATAAAGAAGAAAAGGAAATGAGCGGAAGATGTTTTTCCACTGTTTCGAGTCGCTGAAGTATTACATCATAAAGAGCTTTCTTGTTAAATAATAATAAAAAGAAATCGATGCTTTTGTTCTTGTGCGGCATGGTTTACGTCAAGAGTAGAAAATTATTACACTTTACAACGTAATTAACTTGTCAGTCGATTTCTCTTCCGCGCTGCTCTCCGTTATTGGGCAGATACAAGGATCAATCAGCCAGTCATGTCTAAAAAATGTAGTCGAAAAAAAAACCACTTTCTTTTAAAAAAGGTATTTAAAAAAAAAAATTCTCATTTAAATAAAAGAAAACTTATCTAAATCAAAATACATCTCATTGATCTCATAAAGAAAATCTTAATTTTTATATACTCTGCTTGCGTCAGGTGTGCATCGTATACGTTTTTAAAGTCCCTGTCGCCAAGGCAAAAATAATGCTGAATGACTGGGCTGTGGACGTATGCGCGGCGCCTAATGTTTCGCAGTATAATGGACTCCTGAGAAATCTAGGAACTAATTTCAAAGCCCAGTATACAAAGATGGTAGCTTGCAGAACGCAGTTCAGAAATGACATATAGATGCAGAAACTTCCGAGAAGCAGCACCTTCGGGATTTTCGTTTGGACATCTTCACCAACTGCTGGCGTCTAGACTCCAGTGGTGGTTAGCGGATGTAACGGTCCCTCTTGCAGAAGACATGCTACTTCAGCGTGGCTGCTCCGCGAACATTTGGTAGTCTCACAACACCCAGGACACGGGACCGGCGCTCACGTATGTGGTGGTGGGCAGGGCGCATGCGTAGATGAACATGATGACAACGCCGACAAAGATTTCACGGTGCCGCCGGAGAACCGTCGGATACTCGTCGCAGAGGCCCGTCAGCATCGCCTCCAGGCCCCCGAACTGCGAGTTCCAGACACGTACACATTATTAAAACGGAGTAACAAATGGCCCTTACTTGTTCGTTTTGTAAGGTGTAACCAAGTGTGTTAGTAACGTTAACAGGCCCCAAAAATGCGTTAATTTGCCTTAAAAGCAACGCATTAACCGTTTGCGCGAACCATTTGAAGTTATCGATGAGGTATAAATAGTAAAACAAAATTTTGAACAGACAGTCGAGCAAAACTCTTGATTTTGGCTGTGCTCGGGCTAGCGGATGGGGTTGACTTTCACAGCAAAAAGCGCACCCATATAATGTCGCCCTTTTAGCGTTTTTTGCTATTTTGATTTTGAATGGAAATACGGCACACGATGGGGTGTCTTGGCAAGGTTGGTGTTGAACACACTTTTCGCAGAAAAAAAGTGAGGAAATAGGTTACTTCTTGTTAAAAGAAAAACTTTCCGAAGTAGGTATACTTCGTTACCGGAAAGATTATGAACACGTCATTTTGTAACGCTTACTACACTTTGAGTATGGAGAACATTGCTGAAGGGCGGTATTTCAGTTGGTGTGGAGGGGGGATACGGTACAGGTGAGGATGAAGTGTTGGGGTGCAAGGTCACTCTGTGCCGGCCGTACCGTGCTGTCCAGTCCGAGCGTGATGAGCATGAGGAAGAAGAGAATGGACCAAAAGACCGAGCCCTTCATGGTGGCAATTGCTTCAGGGTACACGATGAACACCAGTCCTGGACCTGAAACATCCCATTGCACCAATGTCTTAATTGACATCAAACTTTCGTTGAGAACGTTAATGGCGTTTTTGTTTGAGATATGATGTAGAATTATATAGGTGATATTTACTGGCGTACCTAACCAAGTTCATTCCTGCTGGACAAATGCTGACGTAAAGTTTCCAGAACACTTCCGCAGCCATGCATTATACGTCGTTAAGACGGTCGTTCATAGTAGTCCCGGGCAGGCAGTGTGAACATTGCCATGGTCCCTCGGAGAACACAGCGGCCGTGACAACGGACTTAAAAATGGAGTTCAGTGAATACCAGTTATAGCTTGATTGATGCTAACATGAACATTTTATGGTATTAACACCGCAGGATTCTCCAACATTGGGGGAGGACACAACAATAGCTGCCTTAGTGTTGGCATTCAAAAAGAAACCTTCTGGAAGACCTAGCTTCGTCAGTGTTCTCTCTTAACAACCTGAAGAAGGACGAAACAAGGGCGCCAGTCTGGGTCCTCCAGAAGACCGCTTCTTCAGGGCTAAGTCTCTTAACAAAACACCGTTGCCCGTCTCAGCTTCCAGGAGATTCTTTTTCAGGTTATTTCTGCCGGAGTCTACCATATTCGTGTTCGTTTGTTGTATGTCTTGTTGCTTGTTCGTAGTTATCACGCGGGTCGTTTACTGTGGTCAGAGTAGAAAAAAATCTAAAACAGCAGACATTAAATACTACGTTCGTCTTGTCGCTTGAGAATATATTGGAGCACCGCCGCCCGCAGCGGGTCAAACTTGGATGTAAGCAGAGCAACTCCACAAATTCAAATAGTATTTTAAAAAAAGCGGCCTTTCGTTGGTTTTCAAAACTGACGTACATGATCTTCCCGGCCAAATCATTTGAAAGACCACTGCCTTAGGGCCAAATATGAATGAAACGGTTTAATTGTTTGTTACACGCCGTTGTAGACGGGCTTCGACACTCACAAATGGTATTTAAGGGACAATAAACAGACTCTGTGACTTTGTTTTTACGTCGCAACCCAGAAAAATAGCATTCACAACAAGAAACATTACTTCCGATGCGCGCAAAAAGAGTACCGACTATAATCACTATACGACGTTTTTGCCGATACAATAACGGTACACACCGTTCCGATGTATCTACTTTAAACGACTTATTTTTCGCGGGCTCAATATTTCGCGTTTTAGGTCAAAGCTGAAGTTTTGAAATAATTCGCGGGTTCTTAATTTTGCGACGCAGTGGGATCTCTATATAAATTTCCACTGTGTTTACATTTTACCGGAATTGTTCGCGGGACCTATTTTTCGCGAATTGTAGGCGATTCAGGTGCTCGCGAAAATTAAGTCGCTCACAATGTATAAAAATTGTCATGAACACATATAGTAGCACTTTTGAATGCTTCAAACTCTAACGTTCGACACCCGAAGGGAGGAGCGGTTATCAGAGGGGCTCTCTCTACGCAGCGCGCACTCCCGCAAGTAGCCGCGTGCATCCGGTACCGCGATGCACCAGCAACAGAAACCATACTCACTGACCAGCTAGGGAACGCGTGGCGGGGTGAGTCCCCAAAAAATCTCATTATCCCCCAGCAACCAATGAGATCAAGTCGTTAGTCGGTGAGAATGACAAACAGCAAACCAGTTAACATATAATAGGCGCCGCCCTGCGTTTATTAACCTGCCACTGTCAGCGGCAATAGTAGTCTCCGCTTTTATCAGTTCAACCAATGACACGAAGACCGGCATCATGCTCCATGAGTCGCCACGCAGTGTCGGTTGCGAAACGAACGGACGCCTTTTCGCCAGAGCAATTGAATGACCACGGGGGAGGGCACGATGCTGCTCGCTTTTATCATTCGCTCTATAATCACCGAGAGTCTATAAAAAACGATGGACGTTCGTACATTATATTCGCTCTTCTTGGTTTGTTATTCGTTGTCCGGCGTCCTGATCGGCTAGTGCCACAATCTCAATCACTGAGGAGCAATGATAAGATGTTTGGGAGCCTCCATGCGCTCTCAGAAATCCGGAGCCCCTACTTTTCCGCAAAGCACTCAAGATATTCATTCACTGTAATCTAAGGAGGTAGCTTGGCGATTAAAAAGGCAAAATAATTTGTTTAGACAAAAAAAAAATAATAACACCGTGCGCAGTGCTTTGAACATAGTGAAATATCAAGCCCAGACACGGCGAGCGTCCATTTTCTGTACACTCTAAAAATTATCACGCTTAAACTCACGCTAACCGCCAGTTTTAAGCGTTAAATGCACGTCCTTGAAACTTGATTGGAGTTTTAGGCACCAAAAAATTTTATAAACCTAAGAAAAAAGAGAAAAAACTGTGCGCGGTGGCACTTTGGACGGTGAAGCGCTCCAGCCCAGACAACGGCGAAAACTGATTCTTTGATGTCAAAAGATAATTTCACTGTCTTCAATCGTCAAGCTCCCTCTGTTGATTGCAGTGGTTAACTCTCCCAGGTACTTTAGGCGAAAGTCTACGTGTCATATTTGCCTAAAAAGTTTCTGACTATTCTCTAAAAAGAAAAATTTACACGCGCGGGCTAATGATCGTTCCGTGTGCACGCGAAGAACTTGCGTAGTAGCTTCTGGGAAGGTTTCTGAGAACGCGTACCACGCACCACGGGTGATGCGCCAAACTACAGCTGTTTCACAATTTTTGGGTACCGCCCATAGATATGTTATGGTGTGTACCCTTCGTTCTGTTGATTGCTACACTCACGCCTCGTTAATGAACCTCGTTATAACAGTGATACCTGGCTATATTGACAAACTTTTCTTTGACGAACTGGCTAAATACATGCACGTCTGTCTCGTTATTATGAACGACTCACGTTACAAACTCTTTTTTTTTTTTTGGGGGGGGGGGGGGGGGTTGGTTTGTATTCACTAGACATCACTGTGTATGTTGTTACCGTCGGTGGCCACGTTGCTGATGTCTTTCTGCAGGACATGAGCCATGTAGCCGAGCACCGAGAAGATGACAAATCCCGCTAGGAAGCTCGTGAGACAGTTGATGATGCTGGTCAACAATGCATCGCTGGAGAAAAAAAAAATAAGAGGAAAATTGACACGTTTAAGGAAAACGTGTTAGACGTTGAGTGTGGTAAGATGTGACGACACTAGTTCACGCTACCCAAAGTTAGCAATCGTTCTTGTCGTAACCACGTCGAACATGGCGAAAAAACACAGTTTCACATTTTGTTAAAAAAATTTGAGAATTTTATCTTTAAAAAAATTGAGCATGAAAATACCTCCGGAGAATTTCAGGTAAGAGGGAACGTAAATGAGGTAAGACATATGTAATCCCCGACAGGCACAAAAAGAGTCATCTACGCCTGACTGCTTTATGGTCCATAACATGAAGAAAACAAAATCTACCGAACTTTGTCATTTCCGACGTATTTTGTACCATAAATGCCCCAAGAGGTAAGTGTTTTCCCAATATTAAGAATTAAACACTTTTACTGTTAGAAATAACAGAGAACGTGCAGGTGAGCTGGTGGTTTTTCAAAATCTTAAGCACTTGAGGCTTGGGAACACAAAAAGTGGACAATATACAGGTCCGTGTATGTCCAATTTTTTTTTTTTTCCTTTTCTAAGTATGGGGTATTCAAAATCTTGACTTCCACTATGGCCGATTTTAGATGAGACTGCCCTAAATGAGACGGAACATGGAGAAGAACGACACTGCAAACACGACTACCATTTGAAACTTTTCATTACATTTTTTCCTAAAATACATACAATGGCCCAACATGTGTGTACAATTAAAACCGAGGAACAACAAAACTAACGTAGTATGCAGCTCGCAACAGATGGAGCGCTACTCACCGGTAGCAGTTATTGTGAAACTTGTTGTAGCTGGACAGCGCGAGCAAAGTCCCGAACCCCGGTCCCAGCGAAAAGAAGATCTGCGTTGCAGCGTCGATCCATACCTACAAAGGAGTGGTTCAATCGAATGGTGGGGGTAAAGAGCGCGACGCAGCTATAGTACGAGCACCACGTCCGAGCTCTTTCGACTATTAGTGAAGCTGGATATTCCTATAAAGTTTTTCTACGCGGGGGCCGCCATCTTGAATCGTGGAACTTCCGGTATGAAGGGAAAGCATCGTTTTGCCCCCACCATGCCACTGGGAGAAGCCCACGTTTTATTCGCGACTGTCTATCGTCCTTGTTTTGTCTTTTTCATATTATTTTAATTGTTCGAGGTTGTAATGCCTGCTTTTCTTTTCACCTCGCATACCGGGTTTGTCAAGTATCTGTGGCTGGAGACGAGGGAAAACCAAGAAGGTCTATTGTCACTGGCAGCTTAAGGCACGCGGGGCGTGGCATAGCCCGGTCATCTCGTTAATGCTCCGTGGCCAATGAAAGTGCTCCGAGCAGGCATTGGCAACGATTCCTCCACGTATATCACGTGCAAAAAACATATCAATACATTAGGGCCCGGTGTCCATTGCTGCGACTGTACAGTGCATTCAAACAGGATTGTTCAATTCTTAATCGATGTTCTTTGTTTTTTTTTCGTTTGAACGCAGAAATTTTTGCCAAATGCACTCTGCCCGCGTCTTTTAGGGGAACCGGCAGGCAAGGATGACTCGAATGGTACCCACGTCGCTGGACAGCAGTTTGTCCCACTGCGGGTAGAGGTAGTACTTGATGCCGTCCATGGAACCGTCCAGGGTCACCCCTCGCAGCAGTAGGATGAGCAGGACCACGTACGGCATTGTGGCTGTCACCCAGACCGCCTGGAAAAACGAAAATAAAGATGTGAAACAAAACAAAAAAGCGTTCCTTTCCGACAACTGATCATTTCGTTCGTATAAATCACACCCAGTGAGTTTGGGACTTGTGTTCAACCCCTAACCCTGTCTGTATTGATCTGGTATGCATGAGCATCGCACCCATGTGCCTTCCTGTATCATTACTTCGTAATGAACAAGGCACGATGCTAACGTTTGTCTTGCACTGTCAAAATCTCTCATTTACAGCATAGACACCACACGTCCCACCGGAGCTGACTAGCTTCCCGCTGCCCTAAGCATACACACAACACAAATAATCGTAACCACGTTTACAATCGCGTGTCAGAAATATTGCAGATTTTCATCATAAAGCTTTTAAAGGTTACGGCGTACGTCTCATGGACCTCTCGAGGGAAAGTGCGCGGCACTGCGTGTGGGAACACGACATCTGCGCTTGTTCAATGATTACTCCACAATAGTGTTCGCGAGCAGAAAGTTTTACCTCTTAGGTTAGTGCCCTAAATGTTTATGACAGCCTTTCAATTGTATGAAAAAAATCGGCAATCGTCTTTTTTTTCTTTTTTTTTTTTTGACGGTGTCGCGCCGTGTGCTAGTCGCGATTCTTATGAAGGTGAAAGCGCGATCGTCGACTTGGCCGCTTTGTATACTGGCAGCGTCACAAAGCGGCAGCCCTGGGTGCTTATGCGCCTTGTCTTGCACCTTGACACGTTTCGTTTTCAAGGCGAACATCATCCCCAACGTTCTTGGACATGAACGCCTCGGCGCATGTATTACAATGAGAATTTCAGCTGAACAACAACAATCATCGCAATGTTCCTCGTAAATATGTTCCAGAAAGTTAGCCATGTGCCTCCACAGCTTTTTTTCGTTCTTTGCTTCCAGGCGATCGATTTCAGTGCTTACGGTTTGTCGCGCTACACCGGCTCTACCGGCCTAAGCCTGTTTGCTGGTGAATGCGGAAATCTCTCCCGGCGGATAAAATAGACGCAAGAGGAACCTTGAAGTCCCGTGACCGGCTCATGGGGAACAGTACCTAGCGTCCCACCCGATTTAGCTGTATTTGGGGAAAGCCTGTCGTCTTTCGCCAAATATAACAAATTTACATGACTTACGTCAGCCATTTGCCTGAAACACAAAACACCTCTAGTTTTTTTGTTTTTTTTTTTTGTCTTCAAAAAGTTGGTTACGTAATCTCAAAATCCCTCTTGTATTTAACCGCCGGGGGAGACGAGCGCATCCACCAGCAAGGGGGAGGAAGACGAAGTCGACCTATCCGAATCTTTCCACAGTGAGCTCCGACAAATCACCCGATTGGCACAGTTTTTCCATCCAACAGGGGAATAACGACTTCATAATCGGAGAGAGGTTCACTCACGGCATCGATGGATACCTGATTTTTTGTGAGTTCATTATCTGTATTTTATTCCCACCTTTCGAATGATCACGCCATGGCGGTAGCTAAGCCTCGCGAGAAAACTTAGACCCGAATATGGAAGGTCTCACCGCTCCTGTCGACGGCGGCCACACACTGTCGGAGATGCATCCCTCACTAATAACCGGCAAGCCACCCACCTTCTCCTCACCTGTGCAAACCATTATGGCGCCAGACATCCACCGTTACGAGACAGCTACCGAAGAAGACAACTACACACTTGTCCAATACGGGAAGAAGGCCCGTACTACCCCCCTACGCTCAACGGAGCTTAAAACAGTCATAATCCGACCACAGAGTGCCATGAACCTTCTTCAATACAAACAACATCACATTGCAATCGCCGTAAGGCAAAACGCCCTCCTCACCCCACACGAAGCCCAGGATCTCTCGGTGCACATCAAGCAACAAAACAATATAATAGTGATCAAGACCCCAAGCCCGATGGCGGCGGAGAAAATTGCGACCCTGTCTCAACTCCCACTTGGACAAACCGTATACAAAGTCCAGGCGTATATCACCGCACCGGCCAACTCCTGCAAAGGTGTCATTCACGGAGTGGATCCCGGTACAACCTCTGAACACCTCATGCAGCACTTGGCCACTTTCGGACCCACCATACTTGCCGCCCGCATTATGGGCAAGACAGAAACAGCCATCATCACCTTTGAAGGAAGCACCGTACCCTGGAAAGTTCTTTATCACCGAGCTATATTCCGGTGCTGGCCCCATCATCCGAAGGCACAGTTCTGCTCCCTATGCTTGATGTATGATCATCGCGCAGACAACTGCCCCACCAGATCAACCACAATCAGATGTGCTGATTGCACAAAACAACTTAAGCAACAAGGAGAAGAACACCAATGCTTCCTTCTCTGCATCCACTGCGGAGGGGAGCATAGGACCAACGACCCCGATTGCCCAATCAAGAAGCAAAAGGATCAGAGACGGACCAAAGAATCCTATCTTCAACGTATCAGGCTGCGCAACAACACCATGATCCCGCAACATCAACAGCCTGCACGAGCATGGGGAGCACACAACCAAGCACCGCTGCCACATCAGGGCCCCAATTATGAGCACGCATTCCCCGCACTGGCACCACGAGGTCAGCCATCGCAGCCGTGGCAAGGGCAGCTACCACGACAGGACAAGCACATCACTTCCGCCACCATGAACAACGCACCTCCGCCACCACCGCCCGCATCGGCAGATGCGACAAACCGAAACCAATGCACGACTCCCAGCAAGAACCAATTATCCTGCCTGGGCGCTGGGAAAACCGCTCCGCCCGGAAAGACAGGTGAGCCAAGCACTCCAGCTCCACTCCAACAACCCGAAACCCCCAACTTCAACGCCTCACCCGCACATCCTCCTCCCATTTACGCAGCACTTCCATACCAACAGCACACAAAACAAGCCAATCCCCCCTGGTCAACACACACGATAGTATCCCGTGTGGACAAACCAGATGCTATCGTAGCATGTTTTGACAAACTGGAACAGAAGCTAGACCGCCTAACCAACAGTGTCGATAAACTCGCATCGACCTATGAACGCCACGAACTGCGACTAACCCTGCTAGAACAACGCGTAGACCGCATGCTCAAACGACTTCTCCCCGACGAAGATTGGAGCGCCGACACCATGGACTACACGCTCCAATCACAAAAGAGACATATTCCCCAAGACCAAGAGGACACCGCGAGCACCCACTCAAAAAACGCAAGGGTAGATAGTTCATGCCTCAAATAAGTTCTGAGAACCTTCATGTTTGGCAGTGGAATTGCCGCGGAATCACCCACAAAAAAGCATTAATCACGCAATACCTCCTCAAATCAGAAACTCCTCCCCACGTCATACTTTTACAGGAAACTTACAAAGCGCACAACCTCCCCAAATACAAAGCAACACACTCAGCACACAACGAGCATGACCAACCATTATTATCAACTTACGTGAAACGTGGCATTAAACACTACACAGAAACAGCACCGGACAACATAAAAAATTCACCTTAATAACGACAATATACCCAGACAACTCACAACGCCCCATAAAGCTTTACAACGTCTACAATCCACCCAAATCTAAGCATGACCTGAAACTCATCTTTAAGCACGCCAAAGACGATGAAGGGACACACGACATTTATATCATGGGAGACTTTAATGCACACAACACGTCATGGGGATACAAGGCAAACACCAAAACGGGCAGGCTACTAGAAGAAAACATACATGGCTTTCAGTACACTGTCCTCAACACGCCGGGGGTAACGACCCGCACGGGGACACGCGCACAGGTTTCCACAACACCGGACCTTGCACTGCACAAAGGGCGATACGCCACTACGTGGGAGAACAGTCACGAGAACCTGACTAGCGATCACGACATACTACACATCACGATCCAAATCACGCTAAGAAAGCGCCGCACAAAGGTCGCCTTCACAGACTGGAACAAATTTCGCAAGCTGAGGCAGAGTACAACAGACAGCGAACACGACACCTTAAACATGTGGACCAAAAGCCTAATGGACACTAAAGAACAAGCCACCAGCCCGCAAACAACTTCGGCGCCTGCAGACAGGCCAGACCCACATCTCCTACGTCTTTGGAAAAAACGAAAAAGGCTTCTTAGAATCTTAGCTAAGCAACCACACAATGATCACCTCCGCAAAAAAATAGAAAACATAAGCATAGAGGCGATTATTCACGCCCAGACGATAGAAATGACAGAGTGGAACGACACTTGTGACAGAATTCAAAATACTCTACACAGCAAACAAACCTGGCACCTTCTGCGCGCCCTGCTCGGCACGAAGAAAGACGTTATCCCCACCATAGAGAAACACGTGAGCACAAAAGGCATCAACAAAACCTTCGAGGAACTACAAAATCTCTACATTCCAACAACACACCAGTCATTTTACAAAAACTACACGGGCCCCGCCAACGAATACATCGACAAGGATTTCACCCTGGCCGAGCTCAACGGTGCACTAACCCAAAACAATCGCAAGACCACGCCGGGCCCCGACGGCATCACCTACACCCTGCTGCGCAACCTTCCTGACAGAGACAAGGAGACACTTCTAGACCATATCAACCAACATTGGAACGCAGGCACACTTCCGGACGAATGGAAAACATCGCATATTACCATGATTCCGAAACCGGGAAAAACAGCCACACTCAGCAATCTCAGACCAATATCCTTAACATCTTGCGTGGGAAAAACTATGGAACGGCTTGTACTAAACAGATTAGAAGAACACCTGGAGGACACTAAACACTTCCCGCATCAGCTCATAGGGTATCGTAAGTACATATCCACGCAGGACCTCTTTCTAATACTACAAAATACACTTCTAATACCCAAGACAGCACAGACACAAGCACTCCTCGCACTTGACGTGAAAAAAGCTTTTGATAACATTACCCATGATCACATACTCGAATCAGTTCTCGACACCGGCAGTGGCACCAACATGTACAACTACATACGCAGTTTCCTCCAAGGCCGGATAGCGCACTTTAGAGCCGCA